GTGGCCGGCACTGTAACCACTGTGCTACGGGTGCTGAGTGCACAATAGATTTTTCTAAACAGTCAGAGGCCACATTTGGTCATAGACCAGAGAACATTAGAGCTGGAAGAGGTGTCAGAGAGCTTCAGATCTGGATCTTCAAGCCAAAATAGTTTGTGAATCTTCTTCCCCCTTTATGCAAGATCTATATAGTCACTTGGTTGACTATCTTTCTTTAAATAAACATTTATTGTATTTATTTTATTTTTTTTCTAAGTTCATTGTCAGTTATGATGGGCCTATGTTGTAACAAGGTTCAACGGAGGCACATCTCACATAGGAGCTTGAAAACCCAATCATTTTGCTTATGAGCCACAAAACAATACAGTTCATTTTTCTTTTTTCTTTCTCTCTCTCTTTTTTTTTTTTTTTTGAGAAACAGTCTCACTACATGGCCCTCGGTAGAGTGCTGTAGCGTTATCGCTCACAGTAACTTCAAACTCTTGGGCTCAAGAGATCCTCTTGCCTCAGCCTCCCAAGTAGCTGGGACTACAGGCGCCTGCCATGACACCTGGTTAGTTTTTTTCTGTTTTTAGTTTTTCTTGCTCAAGCTGGTCTCAAATTCTGAACTCAGACGATCCACCTGCTTTGGCCTCCCAAAGTGCTAGGATTACAGGCAGGCGCCACCTCACCTGACCCCAAACACTTAATTTAAGCTTAAATAATTTTTTTTAAATTTCTTATAGCATAACTGTGAACATTAATGCAATCATGGGGTACAGTGCACTGTTTTCCTGTACATTTTGAAATACTCTCATCAAACTGGTTAAGATAACCTTCATGTCATTTTCTTAGTTATAGCTTAAATCATTTTTATAAAGAAACCTCTAGAGTGGTGCCTGTGGCTCAAAGGAGTAGGCACTGGCCCCATATGCTGGAGGTGGCGGGTTCAAACCCAGCCCTGGGCAAAAAAAAAAAAAAAAAAAAGTCAACCAATCAAAAACCTAAAACACAAAAAAAAGGGGGCTCTGTCTCAAAAAAAAAAAAAAAAAAAAAACCCAGCCCTGGCCAAAAACTGCAAAAAAAATAAATAAAAATAAAGGAAGCTCTACTATCATTATTAGAAACAA